ATATATAAGAAAAGATGAGCTGATGAAAAATAGGAAAACTCAGGAAAAAAGATGCAAAGTTAAAGAAGTAAAATGAAAGATGCAAGCACATAGAAATGCAAATATAAATATGAAGACACATGTCACTTATCTGTTGCCTTTGTTAAGCTCTACTACATATAAAAGGCACAGAACATCTACTTCCCTCCACAGTTTTCCCTCACCACCACCCACTGTCCCACTGTCTTTACCAAACTCAGATGTGTAGACCAGGTCTGATGTTCTGTGGAGGATATAGTGTTGGAACAGTGAATGCTTAAAACCCTGGCATTGGTAGCATTGTAAATCATGGTGCCTAAGTAGAAAAAAAAAATTTTAATAGATTAAATACTGATTTTATCAATCTAGAAGTCTTCTTCAGTTATTTGATACCATTCTCTAATTTTAAAAAGAAAGAATTAGAATCCTATACTAGAAGATAATAAATGGTTTGAGCTATTTTTATCGTTCAATAAATTTATAACAGCAACAGAATAAACTCAAATATAAAACCTAGGGATTTCTCAGTGAGTTTCTATCTATGTCAAGACTACAATATCATTGGATAAAATGGGAACTGGAGTTTTGAAGAAGCAGTTTTTCTGCCTGGTTCACTTGTTTTATTTTCTTACTTATATTTGTACTGTATGCTTTGGGATCTGACTGCAGCGAAAACACAGTAAAGTGTTGTACTTTAGATGATAATTCATGCAATTTAAGATCATCATGAGAGTCAAATATGCCAGTGAGAAATGCTAGTTATGGTAAGATAAGGAAACAAAATGTCCCTTTTGTTATAGAGGCCCCTATAAATTGACTGTCACACAGACTCATTGGTCTCCACACTGCACTGATGAGTGTGTGCTCTAAGGAGGTTTTAAATGGTGTGAAAAACTTATGCTGCACTAAATGTTTGGTGCTGAAGGCAAGATTCCTGGGATGAAACCAAAGAATAGCTACCCTGGAACAACATTTCAGAAGACTAGGAGGGAGTATTTCCACCACAAACTTCACACTAATTCCTTTTCAAACAAAACCACTGAGCATGCAGAAACCCAACACCTCTTAACTCTTGCTCTAAACCTCCCACAGCAGGTTCAAAAGATAGACTTCATTGATCAAGCACAGTCGGCTGGTACATGAGAATGTTCCGGTCATGCTATTGAGATGGGTTCCTGGAAGGAAGATGAGGAAAATGATCTGCATTTGTCTTGATTTCTGCCCAAGCATGTCTGTTCTGTAGGCGTCCTGGAGTTCTTCCCAGAAGGCAAATCTCAAAATCTCCAATGCCAATCATAAATTAGAACTCCACTCACTTAAAAGAATGAAACTTGTTCTGTGTTGTAAAGATGAATGAAATGTGTGAGGTTAAAAGGAGCAATTACTGATTTTTACCTTCACTGATGCCTTGAGATCAAGAGCGACTTCTTTCACGTACTCACCTCTCTCCTTCCATTTCTTATATCAATATCTTTCCATTCACTCACACTTCAGAGTGTCAATACTGATTAGACAATGAGTTGATTCTCTACATGTGTTATTTGGGGCATATCATTTAATCACCCTACATGTTGCTCCTTAAAGTCTCAATCTATCTTTACATTACTTTGAATTTTGTAATTGAAATGCATTACAGAAATGCTAAGGAACAGACCAGTGCATTAATACAGTGAGTAGGGCATTTGCCTTGCAGGTAGGCAGTCTGAGTTTAATCCCCAGCACTCCTTGTAACCCGGAGCCCCACAGAAGTGATTCCTGAGTGCAGAATCAGGAATAAGCCCTGACCAAGTGTGGCCCAGAAACCAAAACAAATAAATAAAGTTTAAATGCTTAAATGCTAAAGAAAATTCTACCAGCATCATTTACAGTTTTCGCATGAAGATATAATAACTTTTTTTTGTTTTTTGAGGTCATACCTGGCTATGCACAGGGATTAGTCCTGGCTCTGCACTCAGGAATTACTCCTGGCAGTACTCAGGGGACCATATGGGATGCTGGGAATCGAACCCAGGTTGGCTGCATGCAAGGCAATACCCTACCCACTGTGCTATGGCTCTAGCCCCGAAGATATGATAACTTGACACAGTTCAGAAATAAGAACTTTCCTGCTAGATTCATGTACCACGAGGCCCACATTATCACTAAACAAAATAAATTCAAATGGTAAACTAAACATGGATAGCCAACGTGCAACCATAATGCTGAATATGAATAATAAAAGCCCTAAACTTCTTAGTATCTCTCTGATTTATTCTTCCCAACAAACTTCATTTTTACAAGCCAGACATGCCAACCCCATGATGCATAATCTCTTGGTTCCTGAAACTGAGAGAAGAAGAGCTGAAAAGTTCACATTATGACTGGAAAATCCAATCTTAGGTCATGTACAGTACAGTTACACAATATAACATTTATGTTCTAAAATATTATATTCTATAAATCACATACAACCTTAAGCGTGACATTTAACCTCTCTAAGCTTCTGTTTTTGGGGGGTTTTTTGCATTTTTTTATCATTTTTTTTATTAGTGAAACACCATGAGGTACAGTTATAGACTTATAAATTTTTGTTCTTGGGTTTCAGTTATACAATGATCAAGTACCCATCCCTCCACCAGTGCCCATCCTCCCCCACCACGGGTCCTAGCATCCCTCCCACCCCCCATCCCCCCATCTCACCCTGCCGCTGTGGCAGGGCATTTCCCCTTGTTCTCTCTCTCTTCTTTTGGGTACTGTGTTTTGCAAGAGAGGCATTGAGTGGCAATCATGTTTGGTCTATAGACTACTTTTAGCATGTCTCTCCCACCCTGGGAGGGTCTTCACAACACCCTTTATTTGGTGCTCTCTTCTCTATCTGATCTAAGCTTCTGTTTTAGTTTGCTAGAATTAACATAACAAACTGCCATATATTGGAGGGACTTAATGACATAAATTTATTTTCTCATAGTACTGGAGTCTAGAAGTGTATCTCAATAACTGCGTAGGTTTGATTTTCTCTGAACCCTCTCTCCTTCACTTGCAGATGACCAGCTTCTTTCTTTTTCTCACAAAGCCTTTTCTCCATGTGTGTCCTCAGAGTCTCCTTCTCTTCTTAACAGCACAACAGTTATATTGGATTAGAGCATACTATAATGATCTCATTTTAACTTAAGCACTCTTTAAAGACCTTATCTCCAAGTGTAGCCACATTCAGAGGTTAAGACTTTCAGATATGAATTTGAAAGGGATACCATGCAGTCCATAACAACCTTGTAAAAATGATCATCATAAGTACTGTGTAAGATGCAGACAGGACCAGGAATTAGAAAATTCTTTCTAAAATATAATCATAAAGACGTTGTATCACTATTATTTTGTCATTATAATTAGTATTATCATGTGACATGTTACTATTTTTCTATGAAACTGAAGTTTCTCACATTTGGGAAGAATTATTTGGAGCCTGTTAAAAGAACAGCCTTCAAAATAAGATCTTTATAACTAAATTCTGGCTCACTACTTTTGGAATGTATGGCCTTTTTTTGGTGTGGGGTTTTTTTTTTTTTGCATTTTGGGTCATACCCAGCAATGCACAGGGGTTACTCCTGGCTCATGCACTCAGGAATTACTCCAGGCAGTGCTCGGGGGACCATATGGGATGCTGGGAATCGAATCGTGGTCGGCTGCGTGAAAGCCAAATGCCCTACCCACTGTGCTATCACTCCAGCCCCTGTATGACCTTTAGGTATTATTTTGAGCCTTCTAAGCATCAGTTGACCTGAGACTTAAAAAAATAATTCCTTATTTGTAATGTTGTTTAAAGACTAAAAATGAAAGGCATTAAAATCATTGGTTAATGGTTAATAGTACATGCTCAATAAATAATGTTGGTTGTTCTTTATAAGAGCACTCCGACATTGTTGCAGCTTTCTCAGCCAGCAGAGGTCTCCATTATAATCTAAGACTCGTTTTCATGACAGTGTGCACTGTTGTTGCCAAGTACATTCACAGTTGGCAGAAAAATAATAGTAAAAAGGAAAGTAAAAGAATTGTCACTCTGTCTAAAGAAAAAAACAAATTTTCTTAAAAGCACTGCACTGTCCTCCCATTGTTCATTGATTTGCTCAAAACAAGCACCAGTAACGTCTCCATTGTGAGACTTGTTGTTACTGTTTTTGTCATATCAAATATACCATGGGGAGCTTGCCAGGCTCTGCCGTGCAGACAGGATACTCCCGGTAGCTTGCCGGGCTCTCAGAGATGGAGAGAGGGATCGAACCAGGGTCGGCCTCATGCAAGCCAAATGCCCTACCCCTGTGCTATCGCTCCGCCCCTTTATTTTCTTAAAATAAATCAGTAAAAAGTTAAGATTAAGTGTAAAACTTTTATGAACAGGTGACCATTAAGTTAGGTTCTAGTGTTACTAGTTCTAGTGTTACTTCAGAAACACACTCACTCGTGACAGCACACTGATAATGCCTTTTACTGCATTTCATTCCAGTCAGTTCTAGGCTTGAGTTTTTTTTAAATCAGCTCACATACACCAACTAATAAAATAATTAATTGAAAAAAATTTGTAAACATTGAAGACAATGGGTGCTGCTATTTCAAGTTAATCACTATGCCTTGGTTTTGCTTCCACTAGAATATATTCCCTTTACCTCCTTTCCCCAGACAGACTTACACCTCCAAGTTTAATTATTCTGTCAATTATGTTCTAAATTGTACTAGTTTCAATTAACCACTTGTGTTATCAATTTGTTGATTTGTTCCTTCTCCTAAACCAGTCAGTTTTACACCCACCAAAAGCTAAAACGGCAATCAAAATGAGAAAGGTTAGAGTTATTCAACAGCAATTAAAGAATTAAAGTGAAAAACAGGGGGATAACTAGGATTAAAAGGAGCACCGAGGAGAAAATGCACATGCACTGAATAAGCATAGCACAGAGCAGATAGAAGCAGAGAGGAAAGAGAGCAGTAGAAACACGGATCTTGCATCTGCCTACTCCACCTCTCTTTCAGCACCAAGGACAGAGCCTCTGAAGGGTTGACCCAAGCAACATTCAGTTTAGGGTAGCTCCCAAATCCAGTAGAGAAGACGGATGCATTCCAAAGCAGCTATGAAACATTCAGTAAGGTCTAATAGGGAAGCTGGAAGAGCAGCACACAAGTGATTTCACCTTAGAGAATAAAATGGGTGATTTTCTTTCTGTTCGTTTCCACAGTTTCTGTGTCCTGGGAAAGGCAAAGTTTGCTTTGCTTGGGCATGTCGGCTGTCAGCTTACAGCTGCAGTTTAGCTAAGGAGCTAAACTCTACAGTCTCCTGAAATCAGAAGGAAATTTCAGGGTAAGTAATTTGCTTTTCATTTATAGTTTAATACATGTTGTTTTTTTGAAAGGTGATTTAACCAGTTTGGCATTTTATTGTTTTATAAGAATATGCATTCAAACTCTGTACCCCCTCTTATATAAAACTCTGAAATCCTTAGAAAACTGTTTTCATTTTTGTCTCATTTTTTTAAACAATTTTGCTTTACTACACCCTCTTGGAAAAAATAGAATCTTGTGGGTTCTAGAAGACATATCAAGAAAAAATTGAAAGATGGAAATAAAGAGCTGTTACTATTCCTGAGATTTGTATGGAAGTTGATTATATTGCTCTTAAGGGTTTTACTAATTGTAAGGGTCTGTTATTTAAAATCCCCAATTCAGTGCCCTAGAAATCCAGGACTGAGGGTTTAGAGAAGTATTGTTTTCAATAGTCTATTTTAAGTCAGGCTGTTTCCAAGTCAGAATCCAATTACTCCCATAGAGATATGCAGTACTTGAGATGATAATTGTGTATGTTTTCTTTAATGATGGCATATGATTTTGAGAGTATTGTTGTTTAATTGTGGGACTTTCACTACTTGCTAAATCATATTAGGTCAGTGAAAATTGTTGCAAGTAGGCATGCTCCAATTCATGTATTTAGTTTAATTAGATACTCTCAAAATATATGAAGAAATAATAATGCAGCAGTAGCAAAGTGGTAGTTGGAGTCTAAACTTGTTCTACCTGCCCATTTTCACTTTAGAGGTGAGTGCCTTTGCTCATTGGTACTAAAAGCTCAGTAAGATGTCTGTCCTTAGGTAAAAACAAAGACTTTCTGTTTAAGACTATTGGGGTCTCTTGTAGCTAAAGAGAAGCAGAAAATATTTGAGAAATATTCTTATTCAGACACTTTTTTTTAAGTTGGACATTTTTAAGGGTCAAGAAGGACAAATGTTGGAAGTATACACAAGATAGTTATTATGAAATATGAATTAAAGCAAATATAAAATAAATTTAATTCAACATAAAATTAATTTACAATGCATCAAACTTATCAATTGATGTTTGCTTATTGATTGATCTATTGAATTTTGTTCTATCTCAGAATGTCAGGATGCTCTATCATTAGAGGTTATAGTGCAAAGTGAGGCTGCTCTGCTTTTCTGGGCAGTTTTAATGAGGTAAAAATAAACTATGCTATCTTAGCTGCTGGATCTCAGTACCAACTAGGGTATTTGTCCTTACATCTGCTACCAAATATATAATATATATGTGTACATATACAATAAATAAGCTTATTTTAATGCTCTTTGAATCTTCATTGGAAAAATAAACTAGATGCAATTTGCAAGAACAGAGTGCCATAGAAATGCTAAAGACTATCTCTAATAATAATGACAATGTAACTCCCACAGCTCTTGTGAAGTGTGCACCTGCACTTGAGGTACATGCGTAAGATACACTAAAAGAGTGATGTTTTAAAATCACTCCATATTTCAGATATTTCTGTCTCCCTCACCCCAAAAGTGGAACAGTTAAGAATATAAGTTCTTGGGGTCGGAACAATAGTAAAGTGGGTAGGGTGTTTGCCTTGCAAGCAAATGGCACCAGCTGACCCGGGTTCAATCCCCAGCATCACATAGGATCCCCTGAGAACCACCAAGAGTAATTCCTGAGTAGAGTCAGAAGAAAAGGAATAACCCTTGAGCATCACTTGGTGTGGCCCAAACACAAAACAAAAAGAACATAAGTTCTTAATACAAATATTGGATTAAACCCACATAATTTACTAGCTTATGACTCCAGAAAGATATTTAACTGTTCTGTTACTTATTTTCTTCATCTTCAAATATGCAGATAATAAGAGCACTTCATTACATCATTGTGAGAATTAAATATGATAACGCTAGTGAATACTTAGCTATAACCATTCATTTCTTCAAAATAATTTAGTAAGTCTGCATTAAAGTCCATAACCCAGACTGAAATCTAGAGGTTAGAACACAACAGATAAAAAAAAAAAGTTAGGAACAGTTAAAAAATAAGGACCTAAGATAAAGGCAAAGATTTGGTTATGGTACTAACTTATTATTATAGAACTAACAGTCTATCAATATACTAACTAATATTGGTCCTGGGTAGAAGAAAAACATCTTTACCTGGAAATGGTACCATATCAACTTTTACCTCCAGCATAAACATATGAAATAAGTCATGAGTTTTGGACTTAGGGAACTCAAAGCAAAATTGGACTCATCTCAATTCCTCATATACATGGACAATCTTGATAGAGTTAGTGTACCTCTACTCAGTCATTTTTTATCTACAAAGCAAAATATTAACCCTCAGTTGGCAGTAAATGTTAAAATGAGATAATATTAAGTACTAGTGCCTGGCACACAGTAGTAAACCAGGAATGGGAATAATCACTGTCTTCAAAAGATATCAAAAACTTGGGTGCCCTTGTCGTTACCCTTACTAGGTATGCTGTATTTATTGTCTACTTAGTTTAAGATCCTTAAAGTCATAAAACAATTAAAACCCTCTAATGCTTACTAGGTATCTTCCTAATAAACTCAATGGGATCCTGTAATGGAACCAGTTCTAAGGAAGTTCCCTACAAATGTTCCACACAAACCAGCTCAGCACTGAAGAGACTGACAATCACCAGAGCTGGACAAATGTCATAGTTGCAGGGAACTGAACCACTCTTTTCCCCTGTTTTCAAAACTGCAGTATGCACTCACTGCAAGAAATGCTAGAATAAACCACAAAAACCAATTTAACCCTTTGTTAACTCTGAATAAATTCAAAGGCACATTTAAATTTGTCAGTAGGGTTCAATGTAATGAATTAGGCCAATAGTCATCTACTTCTACTTTCAGCACTTTCTCACCTTCAACTCAATCTTAATCAGCAACACCCTTTGCTGAGGTCACCAATAATCTCCTAATTTCCCAAACCTTAAAATACTCTCAATTGAAGTCTAATTGAGCCCTTTACCATCCCTCTAAAAGTGAAAAACGATAATAATATGAATGTCTAGCAATATTTTTTATTATTGTGAAGTGAGCAGAGTGGAGTGCATTTGGCACAAGTTGGTAGATGTCAAGAATATCAGTAAACATTCTAGAATGTACAAGAGAACCTCCACAACAAATAATTATCTAATTGAAATTGCCAACAATGCCAAGTTTTTACATACATTATTTTATTTTAACTTCACAATAACCTTATAGAGTATCATGTGTGATTTATCTTTATATTGTTGATAATGAAATAAAGGTATAATTATAGTTACTTAGAGGAACTATTTTTATTTGAGGGCAGTGCTCAGGGCTTACTCTTTGCTCTGTACTCAGGGATCACTCCTGGTGGTGCTCAGGGAACCATATGGGATGCAGAGGCTCAAATCCATGACAGCTGCATGTAAAGCAAGCATCCTACAGGACCACTTTACTCTTTCTTCAGTCTTGGGGAGAATTTATTAAATTTATGCATTTTCTAGGCTGTTTCTTCTTCCTGAGACCAGTTTGCTCTGTTAGCATTTTTGTCAGAGGAAGGCAAAAAAGGAGAAAGCCTAATCCACCTCTGTTATATAAGCATTATTGTTTGAAAAGGAAGAGGAAAAGAAGAAAGATCTAAGAAAGGAAGACTTTGAAACAATTAACTGAGCCGTAGGGAGTAATCAAGCCTCTCTCATTTTTGCTATCATCTGTCACACCCACAACTCATCACAAACTGCCTAGACAATCACGTCTTACTGTCACCTGCTGTTAAGGAGTCCTATACCAGAGACAGTACTATGGGGGGGAAAATTGCCACATCATAAACTCGTGCAATTTGTGAGATCAATTTCAGGTTCAGAACTGATTTTCACAGTTGAGGATGTCCGTTAGTATAATTAGCTATTGATACCAGATCGTTGTTCCAAAAAATTGTCTGAACTCAACAAAAGTTCTGTAAATCTTGAAGATAGTAAGAATTAGCCCAAGATTTTATGTTTTCCTCTTACTTCCCAGGTAAGACACAATTAAGACTTCATTATATAACTGCCCAGCCCAGGAAAGAGTGGCTGGCCACAGCTCTTAAGGTGCAGTACAAAAGGCCAGGTGCACTGGGTCTGAGCTTGCCTCAAAGGAGTAGATATCTTTGAACAGTCATAAAACACTGGATATTTCTAAAGATCTTGGTGGCAGCAGTAATATTTCCAGTGATAGTGGCTGCTCTTCTCCACTAATGGAGAGTGAGAAAATTATAAATATTACTTAAAAGTATTGTTTTAGAAGGCATTGAGTGCAAGCATTGTGCCAAGATAAATATTTTTTTATTTAAAAACATTTATTTATCTATTTTACAAAGCTGTTCATGATTGCAGTTTAGTCACACAATGTTCCAATACACATCCCTCCACCAGTTAAATTCCCAGCACCAGTGTCTCCAGTTTCCCTCCACCCCTCCAAGTCCCACCCCTACCCCACCTATTTCTATGGCAGGTACTTCTCTCTCTCTCTCTCTCTCTCTCTCTCTCTCTCTCTCCCTCCCTCCCTCCCTCCCTCCCTCTCTTTCTTTCTTTCTCTCATTCTAGGCATTATGGTTTGCAATAAAGATGCTGAAAGATTACCATGCGTATCCTTTTATCTACTTTGAACATTCACTTTCTGTCCAGAGTGATCATTTACAACTAATGTTGTCATAATGGACTCTCCTCTAAAAGAACAAAAATTTTCACACTTCTCTGAATTCATTTCAGATTGGTCACCCCTTACAATAATCTGTTCACTTAAACATTTCCACTTTTCCAGGTTGGAACACTTCAAAATGAGTTACAAAATCTCGCCCACAGTTAGGCCAATCTCCAATCTGAAAGAGAGTGACAGACACAAGGAATTAGAGCAAATCCTAGCCACTAAGTCAGTCTCTGTTTTTGCTGGGGCCTGAAACAAGAGGCCCACCACAAGCTCCACATATATTTCTTTAAAAACAAATTTCAAAGGAGTTCATTTTGTGTTAAGAACAACACATACCTGAAAA